TCTCCACCAGCTCTAGAGAAAAAACAGATCTGTCTCTTTAGCTGTTAAATGCTCCGCTATGGTTAGCCGCTAGTCGCTACCAAGAGCAGCTTGTGCAAATAGTGTTCACCTGGCTTTGGTGCTTGACAGATTTAAGAGAGCGGTGAGACTGAAAAACACTACAGTACAAATACAAGTACAAGTACATGTTGTAAAATAAAAACAATGAGCTGAAAGATGCTAAAAAGCTCTATAGAGCTAAGGGAAACATCAGTTGCGTGATAACTCTTGATGGGTTTGTCACTACAAGTGACAACTTTGACATAAGTTACTTAGGCCATTGTTAATATAAAAGTGTTGGTTAGTGCAGCATTAACTTTTAGCCATGCTTGTCAGCTTGTACATTCCCCTTTAACACCGTCTTGGCTAACTTATTAGCAAATTGCTGCCAAATATGCTTGTTATTGTCCGCTCATTCAGTCTGTTGGCTTAAATGTGTTCACAGAGCTCAGTCCAGTGCTGCTGTTCACAGCCCAAACACTTTTCTAAAACTATCCAGAAACAGTATACCTAAAATCCTCCACTGACATAAATGCTTGAAGAAACCTGAATGAGGACTCTTACATTCTTTATGGTACGACAGGATTTGACGTTGTCACTGAAGGCCATCCACTGTTGATTGTCGGCGTACTCCCCAGGGCTGAGGATGTACTGGAAACCCTTGTAGCTGGGTCTCTCATAGATCACCCACACACCGCTCTCCACCCTGATGGAGTTGCAGCGGCTGAAGTATGTGTGCAGGTCAGCACAGTCACTGCTACAGTTGTAGCAGCGGCCCTGGAATTTCTTCTCCTCAAAAAACGTGATCTGTGGCAAAGGTAAGAGGAAAAACTTCACATACACAATGTAAGTATTTTCTGAACCTCAATATCTTTGAAGGAACAATTGTCTTTAAAAAGCATACTTGTTGTAGTAGGTTTTATCTTACCTTCCCCATTTGGATGCCCTGTAAACCTCATTCTTTGCTGCAGCCCCATGAAAGTATTTATTGATAAACAAAATGTGCAGAGTGAGTCAAGTCTTTCATACACAAATGAGGTAGATTTACATATCAGCAAAATGGCTTGGTGCTGTTTGATTTGCCTTTGTTCCAGTCTGATGATGACTCTGTATCAAACACATGCTGGAACAGTGAAGGCAGAGGGTCAGTGTCAGACAGTGATGGACAGAAACGATTTGGCAGTGTTAAACTAGCTCCTGTGTTTTCATGACAGCTGCAAATGATTTGACCGGCCATCTATCTGCAGTAACACTTAACCATGTGTTGTTCTTATTTTTTACTGCTCCTTCTATTAAATGTACTTTACTTAAAACACTGCCTGAGCTTGAGGTAGTTGGTTCTGCTTTAGATGCATGTTAATACAGATGTAAACACCTGTAATTTAATGTGTGTAAGAAATCGTCAAATCTTTCAAGTAACAATACCACACCAACACTGTTACAAGTAATGTGCATTTAAAAGTTTAATAGAATAAAAGTAAAAATGTATTAGCATTAACATACACTTGAAGTACTATATACTATATTGGATTATATTTATTGATGCATTAAAGTTTGTATCACTTCAATGTTTCAGCTGGTAAGTGGGGCTAGTTTAATCTATAGTAATATATCAAAATGTATTTGTTGAATATATTGTGTATTAATGATATGAATCTACAAAGTAACTAGTATCTAAGGGTTTAAAATGACTGTAGTGGTGTAAAAATTCAAAATTGTTTCCTCAAAAAATGTAGTGAAGTAGAAGTATAAAGTAGCATAAAATGGAAAGTAAAGTACAACAAAATTGCACAAGTACAGTACGTGAGTAAATGCACGTAGTCATTTTGATCTAATGTGAAAAACATAAAGAAATTATGTAATATGTTATATAATATCTATAAATTTGTGCATCCTCTTCTTATGTCTTTTTAAATGTGACCATGTTACTGACTCCTGTTATAAAGGGTGAGTTTTGTGGTAAGCTGGCAAAAAATATATACTAGAATTTGGACATTATGATTAAAAATCTTTTCTGAAAGTAGGGACATCCAGTGAGGTATTTATACGAGCCATATAGCCAAGAGTGGTGAAAGCAGTCCCCCTGTGGATTTGCCAGAGCTTATTTTTATGTTTCAGGAATTGAATGATGCAGATGACCTATTTCATGTTTCGTGTAAGCTCGTATTTGATGGTATCACCTGGCCAACACACTGAATTTAGCCTACGCACGTCATCTTTGTTATACACCAAAGGTGCTTGCTGTTTTGGAGAGGTCAATTCAAGAAAAGCAGGTTATGTTTTTGGATAATTAGGTGCTACATATAATCAAAATCACAAAGTCCTCTATGTACAGTATATATGACAATTTTACAGCAATGCAGGTGAAAAGGGAGTTTCCAGATTGCTATTTTCTTTCTTTCTTTCTTTCTTTCTTGGTAAGTGGCTAGTTAGCTGTTTTTATTGTGTTGTGCTTTCACATGAAATTGTTGACAATGATAGCTTGTTTGAGAAACTGTGGACTGAAACTTTGCCACTTTCTATCTACTATAAATGCTTCAGTTGTTCCACACTTCATTAATGCTGCAACATTTCATCCCCATAGGAAGTCGTATGTAAAAATAAAATAACTTTTACAAAACACTGACTAAATGCTCGCTGATACTGATACTACTATCTGAAATTGTGAATCAATTTCCCAAAAAACGCTGGCATGATGTGAAAGGAAACGCCTGCACAGGGCCAACCAGTAGGAGTCACTATTCACTTTTGAAATAATATTATTTTGCATTTGAATGACAGGCATGAATCAGAGCCACTGGATTTCAGCTTGCTTTATTTTTCCACCCAGTACATTTACAGTTTGAGTTAGCAGGAGTCCATGATGCGCCTGATGGAGCTGAACCTCGTCATGTTGCTCATCCCCATCTCTCTGAGGTTCCTGTACTCTCCTGGTCTGAGGTACAGCATCCTGCCTCTGTAGTTGGGCTGCTCGAACATCAGCCAGTGGCCGTCCATCACGTTGCAGGACTGGCAGTCAGACATGTGGAAACGATCCATCATATTGTCACAGTCGTCCATCAGCTCGTGCATCTGGCCGCCGAAGTTCTCCTTCTCATAGATCCTCATTCGGAAGGGTCCCCTGTGCTGTGGATGAAGAAACATCAGGGAAATGATTGTGGACCTCTGAACTGAAAATGAAAATTCAACCTAACCTTTAGATCTATACATTACAACTGTAGTTTTACACTACACTGTAATTACGTGATAATTAACTTGAGGTTACTAAAACAACCACAGCCGTTCTTGGCCTCCGCACTGGTGACCTTAAAAGCTTTGAAGTATTAAAAATGTTTAAAACTGGCCTAGGTATAAAAATAACACACTGATAAGCCCATCTTATCTTTTAATTACAAAGTGAGTTTGAAAATAACATTTGTGAAAGCAACATTTGCACCAAATTCAGAATGGAATCACGGTTTCATTGGTATCTGAACAAACTGATTTGTGAGAAACTGTTCTAGTCAAGGTCCACTTACAGGCATTTTGAGAAGCTTTCAGCCATATCTCACAGCCTTCCTCAGCTAATGTAACCTGCTTAGGACTTATCACGTAATCGAAGTTTGGTACTTAGGTTACGGGACTACACCTGAGCAGGTTATGACAGATGTGTTTTAAAGGTTAGAAGGAACATCTATGCTTAGTTTACATTGAAATATTATCCTTTTGCATTTGCTCCACTCACACATTTGTGCTCAACACTGAAAATAACGTTGCTGGAGTCCAACATAGGGGAGGGTGTTCTTTTACCTCTGTCAATTTACAGATTCCGTCTTTGGCAGATTATAAATTGTAATGCAAATGGTTTGTAAATCTTTTTAGTTGGTGTTGTCGATGCACCAGCCCTTCAGTATTGACTTGAATTGCAGCAATGTGTGACTGGGCCCTAATGCATGAGCAGGAGCTTGTCCACCTACCACTGGGATCATGCGACTGGACCGAATGCAGTCGCTCATACTCATTCCCATCAGGCGCTGGTTGTCTGGATACTCGCCCCTCCTCACCAGCATCTGATGGCCCATGAAGTTGGGCTTCTCATAGACCATGAAGAGGCCACTCTCCACCCTGCAGGAGTTGCACCTGCTCAGGTAGGAGGTGAGCTCGGGGCAGTCACTGCCGGTCTCATAGGAGCGACCCTGGAAGTTCCGGTCCTCATAGAATATGATCTGCAAAGAACGATGTCAAAGAAATATATCAACTTTATTAACAATTTGTCCATCACTTTAAATCTTTTTTAATGTTATTGTGCCTCTGATGTTTTGAAAGTTTCACTTACCTTCCCCATGGTCACAGTATTTGTGTGCTAATCTCAGATGTACAGCTTCAACATCGACCCTTTTTATACATTACACAGCAGTAGTATTTCCACATGGCTTGTGCTGAAACCTTTGAGTCATCACTCTATATTGTAGCACAGTGCAGCACTAAAGGGCAGCAGACTTTACTGTATGACAGAATCTGCAATAGTAATTGTGAACTGAATGTTGGGTTTTATGCTCGCTTCCAGCAACTTCAACTGTTTAATTCGTATCTCTTCTGTAAAAAAAATCTATGTGGTGTGAATATCAGATCTGAAGAAGAGACTGAACTTTATGGTAACAGGGAAGGAATTCAAAAAAAGGCAAGATACACTGCAGAGCCCACAAATCAACAGCCTTGTAGCATTTGAAAGGTAAAAATGAATTATTATGTATGTCATTTGAGGAACGTTTTGCTCCTGCTATGAACTGACATGACCTCCCTAAACTACATTCAACATACAATAACTATTGAGGCATGCTGTAAAAAATGAATGCAGGCCCACGTGAACCTTGTGATGAGTCAGGATGTTTCACACAAAGGTGAGCAAGGTGGTCCGTGGCTGATTCTATATAAAAGTGGCGCCTTGTTGGCATCATCTGCGAAAACTTAAAAGCATAACCATGGGCAGGGTAATACTTATTATATGTTTGTATAAAGTGAAAAAAAAAATAGTATGATGCAAAATGACAGAACACAGCACGCAAAAGTTTTTTCCATCCACATAATAAATCAATTTACCATTTTCATCTACTTCTCTCTTATGTTTTTCGTTGCAGATTATTTTCTACGAGGACAGGAACTTCCAGGGCCGGTCCTATGAGTGCAGCAGTGACTGCGCCGACATCCACGTGCACATGAACCGCTGCAACTCCTGCAGGGTGGACAACGGGTGCTTCATGGTGTACGACCGCGCCAACTTCATGGGTAATCAGGTCTTCCTGAGGAGAGGGGAGTACCCAGATTTTCAACGCATGGGAAGTATGATGGGCATGGGGATGATGGATAACATTCGTTCTTGTCGCATGATCCCTATGGTAAGAAATGTAGATAGTTGCTCATAATTCTTTAGGCTTTATTTACAGTAATAGATATCATGGTCTGGTTTATTGATTTAGACCTAGGATGTCCTGGGTTTGAATTAGCCAGCTAGTTGGTTCCTCTCTGTTCCTGGATTTCATGCGGTATTCTTGCAGGTATTTCCACCCAGTCCAAAAACATGCACAGGAGGTTTTTTTCTTGAAAAATAAAAGTGCCTGTGATAGAGTGGTGAACCCTGCCACAGGCTCTACAGCAAGAAAGGTAGTCTAGCACAGTGGTTCTCAAACTGTTTTATGCCAAGGAATCCTAAAATGAAACGAATTAGACTACAGACCCCCAGTTGATAAGATTTTGTCCTAGCGTCCCCCATCTGATTTTTGCTTTTAGATGTTTTATTACAGATAGTCATTTATTCTGTCACTGTGTTACTTATGGATTGAATTTTAGTGAAAATTGATTCCCCTTTTTCGCTGGGAATCCCTGAAACCCCCTCAAGGACCCCTTTTGAGAACCACTGGTCTAGAAAAATGATAAGACAGATATCATGTCTTATCTTCCTCCAACAGCACAGAGGACAGTTCAGGATGAGGATCTACGAGAGGGAGAACTTCGGAGGCCAGATGCACGAGCTGATGGACGACTGTGAGTCTCTCCAGGATCGCTATTCTATGTCGGACTGCCAGTCCTGCAACGTGATTGACGGCCACTGGCTGATGTTCGAGCAGCCCCACTACAGAGGCCGGATGATGTACGTGAGGCAAGGAGAGTACAGGAACCTCCGTGACATGGGAACGAACAACTTCATGAGAATCAGCTCCATCAGACGCATCACGGATATGTGCTGATTGTCGGTCATTAAAAGAAACTGTGGGTCAAAAATAAAAATCATATTTTGAAGTATCTCTTTTGCTGTTTACTGTATGTGGAGTAAAACTACGTGCTTAGCAGTTGTGCAAGGAGCACAACCTTTCAAGTTAGAGGTCAGAAGGAACCATTGACAGTTTGATTCCTAAATAATGCCCCGGAGTACTGGTGCATTCACTATATAAATGTTTACAGTTTGTGAGAACCTCTTTGAGAACAGCTGAATCATTATTTCAAACTATTAAGTCTTTTAAATTATGTTAATATTATTATGCTGCTTGCAATTCGCAACCCTCACCACTAGATGCCACTAAAACTTTCACACTGAACCTTTAATTAATTAATATCAATAATAATAATAATAATAATAATAATAATGATAATGTCAATATTATGTAGCTGCAGTACCGGAGGCTGCAGTTTCAGGACCCCCGCAATCCTGGGACTGCAGTTCTAGGACCATAGTTATTTTGCGCCAGTGCCATCTAGTGGATTGGTGGTGGTAATGCACAGCAACATGAAGGAGGTTAAACCGGTCTGCTAGCTGTAGTGTTAACCGGTCGACATGCATATAATCAATAACTTAAGTTTAGGCACACACGGTGATGGTTGTGGTAAGGCTCATTGGCTTCAGGGGGGCTGTCAAGAGTAACATAGCTAGCTAGCTAGCTGGCAGTGTCAAAGTAAACAAGGGTCCTATATACGCAGTTCCGGTCCGATCCGGTACTGCAGCTACATACTAGTCATTAATGTTCCCACTATTACTGCAACTGCTCCTTATTCAGTACTACTGATGTAGCAACATGCTGCTGGCTGTAAGTTTACTCAAGAAGCTAAAGTGAACACAAAAATAACATTAAGGTATTATTTAGACATTTAGTACATTGTAAATATTCGTTAAATTACAGCATTAGAGAGCAACTTCGTAGTTCGACTTTAACCACAATATAATTTTGTGCGCATAGTTTCACAGTGGAAAAACTCATCATATTATAATAATAATGGATATTTTAGTTTTGTTTCAATTTCCAGTACTGACACTTAACACCAGTGAGGATTTATAGCACTTACAGTAACCACGAGCAACTTCTGTACACAACAAAGCGAGTCTTACTATTAGTGGAGCTAAAGAAAAGAGCATGTGGTTAAATTTAAGGTTTTATTCCCTTGAGAGAATAAATGTACTGATGTAATGCAATGTGCATATTATATTCTGAAACATCTTGTGTACAAAGGTGACATTTTATCCTGAGGGTGGTGCTAGAGGGATGCTAATGGGCTGTCCAAAATAGAAAGGTTTCATCCTCTAAGGAGCATGAATGTGCTCAGAAAATATCATAGTGATCTGCCCACTATTTTGGCCTGATGATGATGACAGGAGGACGAAAGATAAGCAGGATGCAAAAAATATTGTGTAATATATAATAATATTTTGCTCTGCATCAAAGTTTTGGGAGAATAAAAAGACAGACTGGCCCTGCAGCTAATGGGTCAACATTGTTGTTGCTGGATACTAAACATGTTTCATAAGTTATGTATTTAAAGCTTTAATTCAAAGCATTTAATTTAATCTTGCATCTGTCTAAATGTCTGTTATACACTGCTCTAATGAAAATACAAAAGTAATGCAATTACTAGAGTTTGCTTTGTCACTGTGAATTCTGCACCACTCCTGTTTAATCTCAGTGATTGTAGTGTTCACAGCTTTGATGTATAATACAGTAGGGACTTGCCTGCTGATAAGCTGACTCAGTTATTTTATACAATTGAGGGGCAGATTCTTTTGATGTCACATGATGCATAAAAGGCAGCGGGCCAGTGAGAAGAACAACAGAAATCAAATAGCATGACCATGAACGGAAAGGTAATGAAGGGTACAGATCATGGCAGCAACTGATGCACATACTGCTCAATCATAATTTTATACTTTATATGTACCAAAATGTTGTAGCACATAATTTGCCATGCAACAGTGAGTAATTTGAACAAACAAGATATCTTATGTTAACCACAGAGCTCACTTGTATATTAGCTCCGGATCTGGTTTTCTGATGTGTCTACTATGCGTCTTTCTTTCTAGATCATCTTCTACGAGGAGAGGAACTTCCAGGGCCGCTCGTATGAGTGCAGCAGCGACTGCTCTGAAATTGCCTCTCACCTGAGCCAGTGCAGCTCCTGCAGGGTGGAGAGCGGGAAGTTCATGGTCTATGACCAGCCCAACTACATGGGCCAGCAGTACCTCCTGACCAGGGGAGAGTACCCCGAGTATCAGAATACCATCGGCTTCAATGACTGCATCCAGTCCTGTCGCGTTGTTCCTGTGGTAAATATGTGCATTATATTACCAACAGATATTATGCTCGATTGCTGTCTTACTCAGAATTGGATGACAGTATTACACCTCTAGGGTCAAGTAGTGATATTTCCAGGTGTTTAGGGGGGTACTGCTAGTTTAGCAAAAAGTGGAAAAAATGCATCTTTCACCAACCACAAAGCTTGACCAAAAATCTTAACTTAAAGTATTTTTTTTCTGAGCTTGTAATTGTAAGTTTTATTTATATATTCATGACAACTGTGCAAACAACATCTGCTACTTTATAAAATGGCTGGTGGTTGACAGTTCTTAAAATAGCTAACAACTGGACCTTGGGATTGTATTCGTTTTTTTGTTAATACTGCTTCTAAGAATGTCAAGCATCACCCTTCTTGCTCAAAAACTGTCTTGTACGTTGTATCTTGTTCGCTATAAAGTTAGCTAGCAATGTACATACAGGTTTTGTTAACACTGAAGGAAATGCTGCATGTTTATTCATATACAGTTAAACTGGACTTTTAAGATAGAAAATGTAGAGATTAAACTGATTAAACTTCTCATTTGCCATCATGAACATGCACATTCCGCAATAGATTTAGCTTACAGCTGCTTCCCATTTCCTAGCAGGATCTTTAGCTTTTTTGGTACTCAGAAGCTAGGTACAACTTAAAACAGCACCGTGACTCTTGTTAGATTCATGCATAAATTTTATTTAATTTGACATTTTGTACTTTAACAGCACAAGGGACCCTTTAAGATGAGAATCTACGAGAAAGCAAACTTTGAAGGGCAGATGCATGAACTGACTGATGACTGTGACTCCATCCAGGATCATTATCAAATGTCCGACATGCAGTCCTGCACCGTGATTGAAGGATACTGGCTGATGTTTGAGCAGCCAAACTACGAGGGGAAGATGTTTTATCTTAAACCAGGAAAGTACAGGAACCTCAGTGAGATGAGCAGTGATGATATGAAGTTCAATTCAATCAGACGCATCACAGATTCTTAACTGTCTAAATAGCTAATACGTTTTCCAGATGCTTTGTTTTGATATTAGCAAGTTGTCGAAGAGGGAGAGGCAAAAAAGAGGAGCGTTGTTTTTATCCTGACACTGTGATATGTGCATTGTTTGCATGTGGTTCCAGTTGTACTGTGCAATCCAGCCACAATGAATTTACCTCTTTTACTGTGTGATGCGCACAATAAAATGATTTGCTGCATATTTGTGTGAATTACTTCTAAACACACTGACTCTACTAATATGAAATTCTACAAAAATAAGGTTATTTTCCTTAAATGTGGGGTGAAAACACACACATAAACACACACACACACACACATATATATATATATATATATGTATATCTCTTTGTTTCTTTTTACAGCAAAAACTTCTATATTTATGAATGATGTGATAAAAACAAAAGGCCTGTCCTTGCCAGTATTCCCCATAATTTTGTTTAAGGAATTAAAAAGGCTGCAATCAGTTGGTCAGACATAATAATGCAACTGTTGCCATCATCATGAGAAGAGCAATGAAAAACTGAGCGCTCCTCCGTTTCTACTGTACTAGGTTCCAGCATTCACATTTTACCTTTAGCACAATGATGTTAAGTCAGGTGGTGTCACAGATTATTTATTTACTAATTACTTTTTGTCTGAAACAAGTGGAAAGACAATTAATTTAGGATTCAGGAGTGTTAAATTAAATCCTGGCAGACGTCAAATACTAAGACTGAGCTGTACAAAGCTGTTAAATTGCACAGTAATTTATGTGTATTGCAGCACTCTGAGTAATTAATATAGAACACATGAAATAATTTGGATTAATTGGGAAATTTATGGCTTTATGAGAGAGTTTGACAGTAGAGGGATGACAGGAAATGGATGTGAACTGGTCGGTGGCTTATATAAATAACTTAGACCATTTGTTGTATAATGATTTTCTACATCTTCTTACTGTGCATCACAAATGTATGAGATAACTAACATGCAATATAGAATAATTTTACAATCACAATACACGTTAGGCAGTTGTAATTACAGCTGACTAAAAGTGTACACAGCAGACATGTATGGCTCTATACACCAGCAAACATAAAGAAATTGGCCAGAACTGCAGCGGTCAATGAAGTCCTGAGACCTCTACGCTGGAGGAATCCTGATACTGTACACGTGAACTACTGACGATCTGTGCATGCATGTAAATTAGGCAACACTATTTTTAAATATAATTGAACCAGTGATTTCCAGATGCTACACTGATTAAAAGTAATTTACTGTATATAATATGCACTCAGATTAAATATTTTCGTACGTGTGTTTAATGACTCTTAGCTGAGTGGCTCTACAATATAACATCTGTCACGTGCGGACTGTATTGAAAAAACTTTCTAGAGCTTACTCTATAGAGAATTTCACAATATGGGGGGATTGAATAAAACAAAAGCAAAACTGAAAGAACCAGTGACTATGTAAAACAAATTGTTTTGCTGACATGAAGAAAATGAACAGTCTCTGAACTGTAAATCATATAAAAGCTGCTGCGTACAGAGGCCAGGCAGTGGTTGTGTTCACTTAACAGGATTTTGGAAAGTAGCTACATGTTGAATATTCACTCCAGCACTTAAAATGTTAAATTCAAAAGTTGGTATTTCAGTCATGTGAAATGTGGATCTTTAAAATGGAATTTCAAAGACATAATTTGTGGGCAGCATCTTTGTAGTATTGCTGTTTTATGATAGAATCACTACAGCCTTCACCATATGGTGTTACAATACCACAGTCATCCGCAGTAACAGGGATAAGTTGGATTTCAAATGTAGTATGTGTTCTATTGTACAAAGATAAAGATGTATAAAAAATGGAGATGGAAAAATAAACTTTGTACAAACAAATATGAGCTTTTATGTGAGTATTTCATAATTTCTTTAGAATAAATTTTTTTGGTTTGTTCCACAATCAACCAGAGCAAATTCAAAGGGAAGCCTCTGCTCAAAGGAAAACTGATGATTTGTCCGGTTGACAACATGCTATTGTTCTACGAGAAAGAGCTGACCAGCCCGTTCATTGTTCTGAATCACAATGACACAGGTCATCCATGGGTTATAAAGGCAGCATGAAGCCCATGGCTGCTGCTACAGTGTTACCAAGGTTAGCCGACACAATGGGTAAGGTAAGGCTGCTTTTTCTGCTATGTGTCTTTTGTGCTTCTGCATACCTGCGCGGATTATTCAACCGAAAACGGTGAACTGGACGTTTTATTTCCATCTGGTACAGTATGCATATTTCTCATAATTTGAGCAAATATTATCCACATTTCTTCAAAACCCCTTGATTGATCTTTCCAGATCATCTTCTATGAGGACAGGAACTTCCAGGGTCGCTCCTATGAGTGCAGCAGTGAATGCTCTGACCTGCATTCCCACTTCAGCCGCTGCAACTCCATTAGAGTGGACAGTGGGGACTGGATGGTCTATGAGAGACCCAATTACATGGGCTACCAGTACTTCCTGAGGAAGGGCGACTATACAGACTACCAGCGCTGGATGGGATTTAATGACTGTGTGCGATCTTGCCAAATGATTTCTACAGTAAGGCTCAGTTGGGTGGTTTCAGAGGGCACCTCCTTCCAATAGGTGTTTCTTTTACTAATCCTTTACTACTCTAGAGGCTAATAAATCCCCCTGAATTTCTTGCAGCACCAAGGCTCTCACAGACTAATGATCTACGAGCGCCCAGAGTTCGGAGGCCAGATGATGGAGCTGTCTGATGACTGCCCGTCTGTCTACGAACGCTTCCATTTCAACGACATCTACTCCTGCAATGTGAGGGACGGTTCCTGGATCTTCTACGAGCATCCCAATTACACGGGACGCCAGTACCTGTTGCGCCCCGGTGAATACAGGAGGTTCAATGAGTGGGGAAGCATGAATCCTAGGGTTGGATCCATCAGACGCATCACTATGTGAGAAGATCTGATATCCAGGTGCCATTTATGTGAAGTACTGTCCATAAAGTACTGTCAATAAATCCATCCAATAACCACTGTTCTGTCAACAGCTTCTTTTGTTTTCTTGAGGCTCTTTGAGCCGACAGGTTCAGTGGGTTGAAAGTTTGCTTAGGTGGCAAACTGGGTCTCACTACATCTTTTTTTAAAGTGGAGAAAGCAGTGTGGTCCTGACCAGTGTTGAAAAACAAAATTTTCCAGACTGTTGTTATAAGTGGCGCTATTATTTCGTGAGTGGATCAAATGTTACTAGAAAAAGACTGGAATAAATACATGATGGCAACATACCATCTTCACGTCTTAGATACAGAGACACACACAGTTTAAGCCCAGCATGTTTATTGAGAACAGAAAGAGGAAGAAGGTTTGAAAGACTTCTAGTTAAAGTCAGTGATTCGCCTGAGTGAGCCGATCCTTGGACTGGCGCCGCCCCAGTCGCTGTATCTGCGGTATTCGCCGGGTCTCAGGTAGTAGGTTCTTCCCTTGTAGTTGGGCTGGTCGTACAGCAGCCAGTGGCCGTCAACCACGTTGCACGAGTTAATGTCAGACATACGGAAGCGGTCCTGGACGTTGGGGCAATCGTCGCTCACCTCCTGCATTTGGCCGCTCATGTCTGGACGCTCATACAATCTTATTTTGTAGGAACCACGGTGCTGCAGGAGGAACCAGTTTTTAGTTTGTTTTATTAATGTGCTACATAGTGAATATAAAAAAAGTCCATTAATAGCCCCGAAGTGTTAATATCCACCTATCTAATACTATTTGCAAGTTAACACATACAGTTACACCAAGAATGGTTTGCAAAGTCTTAAACAGAGGTCCTTAACCTAGAGCTCCTTTTAAGCTGCATGGAGTACCAGATGGATGGAGTTAGGCAACGGTCCCTGAAGCTAACCTTCTACCACAGCTCACACGGATGTTGTTGCTTTGGGGAATTTCTATTCAACATGAATTGTTGAGGTTATGTTCCTAAAAGTCCTCATACTAGTTTAATTGCCAATGCCATACATTTGATCATTTTGTCTTTTATCTGGTTAAACTCAGGTAGACACCTTTTCACCTACATTTATTGTTGTATTTCAGATTTGAGGTACTTTAAATGCTCAGGAGAGCATATTATTGGCTACTTTTAAATTTCATTAAAGACCGATTAATGAGAGTAGTCATATATTTTGTTTCTGAACTGGTGCATATTGGTACATTTGATGCATAGCAACTATTTCCCTAATTTGTACATTGTTGTATATATTCTTGTATATTCATTCTGTAGCTAAAAATTAAAATACAAGTAGTAGTAGTGTCAAATGTTAACATTGTCTTTAAGTGCTCTTTGACTTTTCTTGTTTCTTCTCTTTAATAGCTTGATTCTGAGGTATTATAGGTTTTCTTTCCCTGTCCTATTGTTTTCACACTGCAATAAATCAGTGTACCCACATAGATCAATGACTGTTTCCTAATTTACTGCCTTGACACCTCTTTCAAACCATCTTAGGCTTACCACGGGAATCATGCGGCAGGAGCGGATGCAGTCATTGATGCCAATCATGCGCTGGTTGTCGGAGTACTCCCCCCTGCGGAGGAAGTACTGGTGGCCCAGGTAGTGGGGTCTCTCGTACACCATGAAGCAGCCACTCTCCACCCGGATGGAGTTGCAGCGGTTGAAGTAGGGGTGCAGGTCAGCACAATCGCTCATGCACTCATGGTGCCGACCCTGGAAATTTCTGTCCTCATAGAATATGATCTGGAAATGATTGTCAAAGTGGTGATTAACTATCCACTCCCAGGGGCTTGCATGTTTTCATTCTGTATTTTCAGAAACAGCACATAAATCTTACCTTTCCCATGGTCATATTGATGGGGGCCACACTGACGCTCAATCGACACTCTCTGTGCCGCTGTCCTTTTATATTAAGTAGCTGTGTGATGGCACAGCATAAAGTATTGTCATCCAAATAGGTTTTATAACACAAATCTGGTTATGTATAGCGACGCACCGCAGTGTGATGATGAGTTATTGTTGTCTAGTTTTCACATGTTCATCACTATTGATCAAAACACCACAGTGTGCTAGTGAACTGGGGGTCACTGCTCACAGTATCAGCAAAACAACGGCCGTTATTTGTGTCCTTTTCATTCAAAAAGATTCCTAACCTTATATGCCAGAGATGGAACAAGGCTTTTTCTGTCCCTAGGCATCCCTCCACCATGTTGTAGTATATTAAGTGTACACTAAAAACTTAAGGTGCTGCAAGATACTTCTGCAGAGAATTAACTCATAACAAAAAACACAAAACCAAAAAATTAATCAAATAATGACAAAAAAATTACACAATCTCTGTAATTTCTTCATCTGGGGGACTCATGATGGCCACAGGGTCCAACTTTGTACTTTTATCCATATTTTCTATGAACTGATGAAGACAATGTGTTGTGCTCTTGTTACATGATACTAATATTATGACCTACCCTTTTAGCATGCCTTTTAGAAGTAAAAAATGGAAAAGGGTGATAGAGCCAGTCAACCACAGCTGTAGTTTGTTTTTTAGTACTAATTAGCAACTGTTAGCCTGCTCACACATTGAACTAAAATAGGGAACATGCTTAAAATCATACCTGCATTTACATTAACAGCAGTAACATCCGCATGTTAGCATTGCGATCGTGAGCATTTCAGCATTTAGCTCAAAGCACTGCAATGCCCAAGTACAGCCTCAAAGAGCTGCTCTTCATCTTGTTAGCATGTGTTTAAGTCATCACTCACAGAAACTGGCTAAATTGCCTTTGAAATAATTTGTCCTTTACTAATATTTAATTGAATGTATTTTTATGGAAACATGTATGCAATATCAACTATTACCTTGTACCACAGAATTTACAGCTTACTTTAATTTTGCACCACACATCTGTAAACACATGTATTACCTGTCCAGCACCTGAGCTATTAAAAACAAATACTTTTTAATGTATTGGTGTGTCTTATCTTTCACAGTTAGGGAGAGAAACACAGTATGTGCCTTGCCAGTGTTTGCTGTATGAGAGCTATCTCCGGTCTAGCACTGCGATCATGAAAAACTTTATAATTAGGCGGCGGATTCAATTAGATATTATAGTTAACGGAGTGCTACCTGTATTTTCTGCTGCCATCTGACATAATTGTTATAGATTAAAAGACTGTTATTTATGTGGTACGTATCAACCCTCCTCATAAAGCTCAATATTATTACTCAAAATCCCTGTATTATGTGTGCAATCGGCACGTTGTTTGAACATGCCATTTTTTTGTTGGGTATAATTCAATAAATGGTAATAAATGAAAATGAGGACTATTTGTTGCCTTTTTTATTTACTACCATGCTGAAAGTTTGAAATGGTGAAGGTTGCTTCCCTTGTACTAAACTTCCTGTACTTGCTGAGGTGGACAAGGCCCCTTGAACATGACATTATTTGCCGTTTCTGAGGTCCAAGTGAGATGTTTTCAGAGGCCCAAGAATCGATTCACCACAACACAAGAAACTGAGGGTTTTTGTCCACAAACAGCCCAAAAATGAGCATGAAAAATGTTTGAAAACTTGCCATTTGATGGCCCAATATCACATTTGCAAAATAAAATCCCTTTAAACACTGTAAAGCTCACCAAGCACAGACAGCTGACACAGAGACACAAAGCTGTTTTATAAACCTCAATCCAATGTCATGAGATCAAACCTTTTGTTATTCTAATAAGCAGGCTTTTGGTGCTTTTGCCACCCTGCTAAGGTCTTGATCCCATTCATACAGAACAAAACCCTGATTCATCTATGCCCCCGGTCTACGACTGCCAAATTAGTGACTCTTGTTGTAACATAGGATGCCCACACATACATTGTATTTGCTTTAGTGTTTCAAATGTTTTAAATAAAGATTACATTTTAGCCTATTAATAAATAGATTTGCATCGCAACATGGTAAACCACAGTGATGTAATAATACTGCAATCAATATTTGGGTTGCTAGCAGCACTGCCGATCAGAGTTCTGAGATCTGAGGGGAACTCCACAGATTTTACACTTTGTCAAGTCTTGGAAAATAATCCTGGTAATGTCATAGTGATGTAATCAGGGTTATTTTGGCTTACTTGGTGAAGTTTAATTTCTTTTTGGCCTGCATTACAAAGTTGGCATGTGGAGTTTAATAGATGTGCTCAAGAGATGCTATCATGCTGCATTATGGGAAATGTAGTAGTCTGTGTTTCTGCAGCATGACCCATAAAATTCATATCTCTGTCTCTGCTGGTTTGATTTTGACCTCTTTTCAATATCTGTCTCTTGTGAGTTTCCCATCTTTATGTGAATTCAATACAATGTCACTTGAGTACGCCTTTTAAAAAAAATTCTAATTACCTAATTAAATATTGTACATTTCAGATCACAGGTTTTGCATGTTTACTTTGAATCCAATACAAACCAGTTTAAAAAGTTAGATTGTAAATCAATTTCCTTCCTTCAAGGCAGCCACTGGTTTCCATTCATTAAAATAAAATCATTACATCACTAATGCATAATTGTTGCATACGAACGCAAAACACAGCCACTACACCATAGGAAACATTTATTTCCATTCAAGAACCAAGAACACTCTGAACTAAAAATATACAACAAGTGAGAATGTAATTCACAAACATATTTTACATTAGGTTTTTTTTGTTATATAATTTGCCTTCTGCTTTTAATCACAGAAAAAACCCTGAGTTTGACAAAATATATTGAGTTTAAAATAAAATAAGACAAACAACACTGTTGTGAAATGACACTGGCTACATTTTACCTGAATTATAAGCACAAATAGTTCAAACTGAACAAATATGACAGGGATATTAAAGAGTTAGGATTGAGTTGTTGTGCAGTAAAATATCTAAGGAAAAATTTTATTATATAAGGAATATCTATCATTTAAATTGAATATCATTTATATTCAGATGCAGGCTTGTTTAGTATTTGTAAACAGCCCAGCAAATGGTCTTTTTCTGATATTCTGAGCACTTGAAATAATTTAAGGCTAACAGGTTTCAACAGGCTTAAATCTCTTTCTACAATGTTAAAATAAAATAGCCAATGGGAACAAAATGGGATGTCACCTGCTGTTACTTAGAAAGCACAGTTTAACATGTGACAGCTCACTTGAAGGGCAAATCTAGTGGATTTCACGTGCTAAAAATACTGCCAAATCTGGGTGACCAGCTTTGAAAGCAGGGAGCAAGTGAAGCCCTACAGGTACCTCAAATAAAGAGACACAGCAGCTCTTAAGGCACACTCACACCATCATCTGTGATTACAAATCTGTCCCTGTGTGCTTAAAATTCCCAGATTTATTATTGCTCAAATCTGTACATAGTTTGTTTTTACGCCAGCCTCCTTATATATTGAGAAATATAAAAGTATGATTCCTGAAATACAAAATTGCTAAGAAACCAGTACACTTTCATAGATGCATTGTGCTGTTCAAACTGCTAAATATGCAAATACACCTAATAATCAGCCTGCTTTTTAAAGAATATACTAAATTGTCATGTTGCTGTTACGTCAGTACAGGCAACAGTCAGGTAACCATACTGCATGCAAATTTCTTCACATCATCACACTGAAAAATTGTAGCAAATAATATTTTTTCCAGTGATGACCAATCAGACAGTGAATCAGAGGGTCCCGAAAGATCTTGACACTGATAAAGCCAAACAGAGGTTACAAGATAAGATGCAGTGGCACATTCAGATCATCTTAATGTTAGTAATAATGTTAGGATTGACTGAACAGCTGTGAGGCTGAAACAACTATAGTGTTGCATTTTTCATATCCTTTTAAACTAATGTGAACACCGATCCAAAGAAGATGTGCAGCATTGTGTCATTGTACAAGAGAGAGAGTTGAGATGGTGAGAAAAAATATCTTATATTCTCAGCTACATCTTGTAAGCACCATGTAGCTAGCAGATTTCTAGCTACGAATTAGGCAAAATATTTAAAAGTAATGGGTTCTCGTTATGTTCAAGCCAAATTGGAAAGACAATAGATCTGAGCTACTACTGAAGTACTGAAGAAGTTTTACTTTCTGTTTTATAATCAGGTTTATAAATGTAATTGTTTGAATTAACTTTGTTTTTAATATTGTGCATTTGTAGGATTTTTAAACTAAATTGATTTTTATCAAATATAAATGTTAATTTCAGCTTTTTAAATTCAACTTTTTTGTGAAAAGGATAAAGATCCCTCAATAACGACGAGACAGGTCTGAGATGAGGCGCTGTAGCCATCATTAAATCTGAATATAAAGAACTTGTGTTTCAATAATACGTAACCTGTAAATCTGTATTTTCACATTTCAAGATGTTTGTTGTAATGTAATCACAACTACTACAGTAAAGTGATTTACTGAAAACTCATGTATTATCACTAAGATTGTGTGTTAATTATCCACTTTGACTACTGCAACGTACGGTACGCAATGTAAGCCACTGTAAGGTAGAGTAAACTTATATCATCAAACTGTATTACAACATAGAAACAGAAACAGATCTGAGTGCTGCAAGTCTAGTAAGTCCTACAAGGTGAGAGCTTTCCTTTGTTGTGACCAGTTGGTGGGGCTATGAAATCGCATCAAAACATACTGCACTATGTTGTAAGGCACAAGTTGAACAGTTGATAGATTAAATGTTAAATCCATGGAGAAGGTAGAGGAAGTGACTAAACTGAAATGAGAGGTTGTGGTGCTGTGTGGGATTTCCCCCCTGAGAAACTGCCTCTGGGTTTAGCCTACATGAGAGGATGGGAAGGGTGAAGCATGGAGGCGTCTGGTGGCTCCATAGTCTCTGGCAGGTAGTGATAGTCCTTGTGGTGGATATATTGGCGGTACTTAGGCTTCAGATGGACCTGCGAGTGTGGAAACATCGGATTCTGTGGAGAGAAAGATCACATTAAGACTCAGTGAAGGTTTGCAGAAATGGTGAGGAACTCACAAACAGGAAAGAGTCAAAGAGAAACAGTGGTCCAAGAGGCGTGGTGACGATGTAGCCTATCAAAACAAATCCAACGTGGTAGCTAATGAATGGCATCTGACTGATGTGTTCTTGCCGGTGTGTTGCTTTACCTGGTCCGCACTTGTAAAATATCTACCGTGTCGCGACTTGTAACGTAATCACTCTGCGTTTCTCTGATAAATGCTACAGTGTGTCGCATAACCTGAGCGGATCGCCGAAATAAAGTGTATGTGTGGGAAACACTGACTGAACCTTTGCTTTTCTTTTTACAAGCCAGGTCTTCAGCACTGTCTCTCCCTCAATGTTGTTAGAGTTTGTGAGTAGACGGCTACATGCACATGCAGAGGAAGGGGTTGTGTGGTGAGGGGGAGACGAGCAAACGCTGGCAGGAAACATTAATTAACTCAACATCAACCTATTTTGTCAAATTTTATATCTCTTTTGAAATTATACCGGTATACCTCATTATACCGATATACCGCCCAGCCCTAATAAAAAGTCCCAACTTCTCTCTTTAAATAAATGTTTCTACAAGTGTCCTAACAAACAAGTGATGTAAAGACAGTAGAATAACTCTTCCATTTAGATTTTAAACAGTCAGCCTTGTGATTATCAGTTGACTGTGTTCACCGCTCTGTTAGTTCAAGATTCCCATCATTGACTCTGGATTGTCAACAATATAAATTTGGAGCATGCTCTTCTGAACATTAACAACTGGTTAATCTAGCCAGGCGTCACTGTCATGAAAGCATAGGTAATTAATAGCATAAAAGTATCTTTCCTGGTCAGCGACACCGACAATCACCAAATCTGATTTTCCTTCTTTGGACTGCTTGCTATATTGTAAAAATACCCTTTATACCTTTCCAGGGTCATGTTGCAGAACAATGGGTGTCATTCCTTCAGATCTCTGAGGATACAATGGGTAAACCTGCTGCAGTGTGGGCTCTATAAACTGTAAAAGTATGAGAACAGACCAAAGGGAGCTTTCGGTTCAGAACAAGTTGACTGAACACTTGTGACATTTGTGCAACCAACAGAATTACAATGAAACACTTCAAGTATGGACTATTACATATCCAATAAAGCAGAACATTATTTTTCTAGCTCTTCAATCATACAAATGCTACAGCATAACATTAAACTACAACTTCAATATGTCTCTCCATCAACAAACTTGTACATTCAACTAGGGATGAAACGATTACCGGTTTAACTGTAAACCATGGTAAAATTTCCGACGGTTATTACCGTACACATTTTAATTACCATATACCAGATACCGCGCTATTTTAATCTCAAGGCAAACACTGTCCAGCGTCTCCCAGAAGCAGGCGCCTCTAGAGGACTGATCCTGACAAATTCCGAAATAAATACAGAAATAAATAAACGCTCAAAAAAAAAAAAAAAAAAAGCATCCAATTAAAAGCACAAAAAAATAAAGTAAATAAATAAATGTAGGCGGTAATTAAATTATACAAGGAGACATAAATGTATATATCCAGTGTTTCCCATACATTAATTTATTTGTGGCGGCCCGCCACAATATCTGCGCTGACTGCCACATATTGTTTTTCGATTTTTTTCACTAGGCCTATTTAAAATCGTATTTGACTGCAGAGCTGCAAGCAGCGCGTATTCGTGCAGCACATCCTCTAGCTCGTCTCTCTCATCCCTCCCTCGATCACTCGCTCTCTCTCCCTCGTTAACACAGCTGTACAAATCTGTCCAACACAACGCTGTCAATGTCGGAGACCCAGCTATTAAAAGTTATTAAGCATGTAAGGAGCCTAGCTAATAAGGAGAGCTAAGTTAATGTTAGAATACAGCTGGGTTTTCGAGGCTAGCATGCTGTATCTGCGCCACAGTTACAGTGTCATTCTGTGGGAAACACTGATATCTATTTTAATGAGCTTCTTTATTTATTCACCTTTGTAATAATTACCTTATTTATTTATTGTCCGTTACAATCAACTTTATTTATTAATTACTTCTTTTTTAAATGTATTTATTTATGTGTGTTTTAATATTTTAGTTTGTTTTATTTTTCTGTTGCATTTTCTACCCTATTTATTTCCGCCTGTCCTTTTTACATTTCTCTATGCATTTCTGCCTCATTATGCAAATTAAGGGGGGCTGTGTCTCAAGGGGTGAATTTCTCCCCTATTGGTGGATCAGTCAGAGGGAGAGCTCTAGGCCTACTCTACCTGCACACATCAACAAGCTTGCTCCCCACACAGTCAGATGACTTCCTTCAGTGCTCTGAGGAGTTTAGGAGTTCTTTTTATGTGGACGCTCCGACAGACAGTGCTTTCAGTTTGCTTCATGCATGGACACAGAACTGCGTTATAAGGAGAAGCACACAGTCAGCTAGCTGCAGCTAAATCTGGAGTGCACTCGTATTCAATTCTGTATGGTAAATTCAGTTTTAACGGAGCAGAGCGAGTTGACAGGCAGAGTTAGAGACTTTTTTCTGTCTGTTTCTCTCTTTACAAAGACACGTTGCAGTTGAGAGTCTTATATGAAGAGGGCAATGAAGTCTCAATAGTACACGATGCGAGCACCACATGCAACATAATATATAATTAATATAAATATAATTATACAGTATGATATACAGTATGAAAATAAGATTAATTGGATTATACTCACAGGAAGTATAAAACCTGTTATATGTGTCTATTAAAAGTAAAATAACAAAAATGTCAGGGAAATTACTTAGATTTAAGTACTGCAGTTGTACATTGAAGTACCTTCCTACCTTTCTGTTAAGAAGTCTTCTTGAGGTGGTATAAAACACTAAATTCTGATTTGAGTTGTGGACAACTATGACTACATGAATTAAAAAATGAAACAGTTCACTGCCCAAGTCAGCTATCTCACAAGTCTCGTTCATTAGACTACATGCTGTACAGTATTTGTGGACAGATTTTGGCCCAGGATTTATTATGCATTTCTTCTTCTTTACTGCATGATTTAGAATAATAAGTTGAGAAATGGGTCTGTTCTGAGTTCATCCTGCAATGCAGCAGCTAATAAAGTCCATTTAATCCCCAAAATGGTTTTCTTTTAGGCAGGCTGGAGCGGGGGAAAAAAACCTTACCTTTCTGAAGTTGTACAGTAATGTCACATATGTGTATGAAGGTGGATCAAACACAGCTAATATGTAATAAATGTCAAAGCAGAGATGAACCAAGTAGGCCTATTTATATTCATTCATTACACAAGATGAATAAACTATGCAGACAGCTGTAAAAAAAATCTTGAATGTTCTCCACTTGTTATAGTTACACTGTTAGGATTTGGTTTTGTGCTGTTGCTTTTCCTGTGTTTATTTGATATTGTCATGGTTTAGAGTTTTGCAGTCTAGTTTATTATTTTGTTAATTCGCTTTAAGTTTTCTAAGTAACTGTCTTGTCGCTCATCGTAGTTCTTAGTCCTGTGCTTTAGTTCATGTTTAGTGTTTTCTTGGTCGTTTTGTACTTCTGTGTTTTATTACTTATGGTCTGAGTCTTTGTCCTTAGTCTTTTGTTTTAGTTTGGTCCTGTCCATGTTTGCTTTGTGTTCTGTTTAATATTAGTTCAGTCTGTTTTTCCCTATTAGTTTTGGTATAAGAAGATCTGTCTGCTTATAACAGACAAAATACACACATAAATAAATACACTTAAAAAAGAAGTAATTAATAAATAAAGTTGAAGATTATAACGGACAATAAATAAATAAGGTAATTATTACAGAGGTGAATAAGTAAAGAAGCTCATTAAAATAGATATATACAATTATGTCTCCTTGTATAATTTAATTACTGCCTACATTTATTTATTTACTTTATTTTTTTGTGCATTTAATCGGATGCTTATTTATTTATTGAGCATTTATTTATTTCTGTATTTATTTCTGAATTTGTCAGGATCAGTCCTCCAGAGGCGCGCGCGTATGCGCAGATTGCAACGTGGGTTTGTTTGGGTCGATGACAACACGGCGGAAGACAGCGCTGCGGAGATTTTTCAGTAACTCTGAAGTCTGGTCGTATTTTAGTTTTTATGAGAGCGCTGAGGGAAACTTGATTGAAGAAAATGACCTTATAGTGAACGCAAGGTGAGTTAATTTGTAGCTTTGGTTTGTCTCTCTGACTTGCTAGCAGTGTGTAAACTGAAGCTCTCAGTGTTAGCTGCTCTTGTAAAAACACTACACGTTGTTCTGCTGCTGTGTGCGTCATGTGTCAGCAGTCTATTCGTCCACTGCACATGATAACACGTTACACTGTTTAGTCAACCAACTAGCATATCTAGAAACGCTACAGCCTCTGTATTTATGTCAGTTTTTGTCTTCTAAATACTTATTTGTTTTCATGTAATTGTCCAAGGTATATAATATAAAATCTTGATAATGCACACTTAGATGATTTTCATATGTTTACAAAAGGTATTTGCTGTTATTTTATTTTCTATGCAAACAATGGCAATTGTATTTGTAGTTTTCAATATAAAACTTGTTGAAATAGTTTCAGTGTTTAGTTTCAGTACATTTTAATATTTTTTCGGCACATTTTTACAATACCGTGATAATACTGATAATCGTGATAATTTTGGTCACTATAATCGTGATATGAAATTTTCATACCGTTTCATCCCTACATTTAACAAACCTATCTTCCAACTGGTTAAAAGAGCAATTTCTTTCCCAGACAATTACTTGATCTTACTTACTTGCAGCAACTATATCCAACTGCTTTAATGGCTGTATTTATGTTTTAATTTGTCTGTACCTCTGGTGTTGTGTCCTCCATGACAGGCAGAGAAGGCTGGACAGAGCCTCCATGAGCGGGCTGGTACAGATATTCAGACTGCTGGGAATACATGACTGGACTGGAGGGCATTGGTGACTGGACGACAACACAATGACAACAGGTGAACAACTGGCCAAAGTCTCCTAAACTGAAAAGAAGGTAGGGCTTTATTTTGCCTACCTTGACGACACTCCACTGATACTGGTTTGGGACACACTGAAGAGAGGTAGAAAAAAAGCAGACTGTTAACTGAAGTTTAGACCACTGCTGCACTTATTAAATGGTGAGAAATTAATGGATTTGCTGAAGGGCTAATATGACCTGGTAGTGGTGGTGAGCTGGTTGCTGGTAGACGGGCTGATGGGACTGTGAAAGCATCACTGGAGGAGACTGCTTCAAGAGAATAAACATATGTAAGTCACACATTACGTAGTTTTTCTTATTGGTCTAGCCTGTTGATGTACTCTGTCTTGAAATGCAGACTTCAAAATTCAATTCAACTTTATTAATCCAAGAAGGCAATTTGGATTTGATTTTGAAGTACAGACAGGAAACAAACATATACACAGACAGACAATTATATTTTTATATATATATATATATATGTTTTTTTTGTATGCATTCCAAGGTAGCAAATGTAAGCAAATCAAAAACACTTTACCTAGGGCTGGGCAATAAAACAATAATGATGATTATCGCAATATAATTCTCCTCAATATCAATATAATAAATGTTCAATATATTGTCAATAAATATTTGGTTTAATTAATTTGAATCACAGACAAATTAGAACTTAATTTTTCTATTAAAATATTTTGTTGAGGAAAAGGGACTGAAAAAAGATCTACTAATCATATTTGGTAATTTTTTCCCCCTATAATAGTTCTGAATATCAGAGATCTACTGTACCCATTTTGACCATAAAGAAACATTTAACCACATAATTAACCATCTGGCTTCTTCAATTTTCAGTCAGGAGCAAAAATCTGCCTTTAAACTTGAAAGAAATAACGATTTGACATTTATCGTGATAATTATCGATATCAAACGATATGAAATGTTTTTATCGTGATAACATTTTTGGCCATATCGCCCAGCAGGGGTGGAAATTTACTTTTTGGCTCACCTGCCATGGTGGCTGGTAGATGAAAAAAAAAATCCACCGGTCAAACATATTTTATACCAGGCAAAATAATAAATTGCCTTTTGTGTTACATATACATTTGTTTCCGTCCTTTTAATTGAGATAATAAGGTATTATGTCAAATATAAACTTAAAAAAAGAGGCCAGAGTGAAATTTGAAACAAAATGATATTATTGCTATTAAATGTACTTAAAACATAACATACATTTTTTATAAACTTATAAAATGCTTATTAATCATTCAACTTAAACCTTATCACTACTTACTTACTCTAGGCTTTATCACTTTCTACAATCATCCACCTTCTGGCCTCCTGGTTCTGACAGAGTCCTGGTGCCACAGCATCACAGGTTTTGTGGGATAAACATTTTTTTATATAGTCTATGGATCATTCTCCTTGATCTCTGGGGAGGACAGCAGGACCATTAGAATATCTGACAGTGTGTCACACACTCACTGGACCGCCAACTACCCAGCTAAAAACACTACAACTTTTGTAATTAGCCCCTAACACTAGCAGCTTTCACGCTGCCTTATTTCACCGGGGTAGTGTGCCAATCTGCCAGCTTGCTGCACTTTATGAAAGGTATGGAGTACATTTTATCCGCCTCTGAGCAGGGAAAGTTGGTGACAGACAGAGACAGAAATACGGAATGATCCGTTGTGAAAAGCCACAGCCGACATGCCGCGGCACGCCGCTGGTTCCTGTAAAGCCAGACCACTGTGTGAAAGCACACATGATTGCGGGATGGAGGCCTTTTCACACAGGATAAAGCTGCAAACTTTTGTTCAGTATAAAGAAGTGAATGCAACATAAATGCGGATTTTATTTCCACGCGAGTCTCTGTATGAAAGTGGCTACAGTCTCACTCTCTTGTCCCGACTCGTCACCTGTTCCCTAACGCCCACCTCCTTACATATCTATGCCAATCAAACACGAGTAACACGAAAAGAACATAAACAACAACCAATGAACGCCTCTAATCCGTGTGTTACACGATTTAGATACCTTGGTACATCGGGAAACAATTTAAGTGCGACACAACAAACAAGAACGCCGGTATGCTGCGAATTACCGTCATACAGAAATTATATGCTGAATATAATATATAGCCTTCACACATTAGGCAGCCAAACGGAAAATCCACCCGCATTTTGCGGGTGGCTGGTGTTAATTTCCATCCTGTCACCCAGCCCTAACTTTACCTTGGTAAATTGATCTTTAACTATTTTTCCAGCACAAACATCAAACATTTCCAAGTAGCAGCATCTCAGTTGTGAGGATATGCATTTTTTCTTTGTTTTATGTAAAAGCAAACTTTTTGGTTTTCAGACAAAACAAGCTACTTGAAGGCTTCAATTTGTTTTTTAGGAAATTGCTACAGTGTAATAGACAAAAATTAAATAAATAAATTTTCCCCACAGATAAATTATTTTTAAAAATGTATTATTGGTAGGACATAAACAGAACTATAGAACAGATAGAAACAGGCTTTGGCAATAATGTCATAACATTCAAGCCAATAAAGCTTTCTTGAATTGAATTGAAGTGGAAGGTGCAGGCTGACTGATATGTATGCCAGAATAGTCCATTCTTTGCAGCACTGTTGTGCAGCTGACCTAATGTCGCCATGTCAGAGCTAACTACCAGCATCCCTCAAGCTCAACCAGTATAAATTCAAGTCCTTACTCTGTATTAAATGTTGCATCACACAAGAGGATCTTTGCTTTTCAGTGAGGAATTCAATTTCAAGACTTGAAATTATATGTTTTTAATGACCAGTTGTTTAATATTGCTATTTACAGTGGGTACGGAAAGTATTCAGACCCCTTTAAATTTTTCACTCTTTGTTTCATTGCAGCCATTTTCCAAAAATCAAAAAAGTTCATTTTATTTCTCAGTAATGTACACTCAGCACCCCATCTTGACAGAAAAAAAACAGAAATGTAGAAATTTTTGCAAATTTATTAAAAAAGAAAAACTGAAATATCACATGGTCATAAGTATTCAGACCCTTTGCTCAGTATTTAGTAGAAGCACCCTTTTGATCTAATACAGCCATGAGTCGTTTTGGGAAAGATGCAACAAGTTCTCCACATCTGGATACGGGTATCCTCTGCCATTCCTCCTTGCAGATCCTCTCCAGTTCTGTCAGGTTGGATGGTAAACATTGGTGGACAGCCATTTTCAGGTCTCTCCAGAGATGCTCAATTGGGTTTAAGTCAGGGCTCTGGCTGGACCATTCAAGAACAGCCACGGAGTTGTTGTGAAGCCACTCCTTCGTTATTTTAGCGGTGCGCTTAGGGTCATTGTCTTGTTGGAAGGTAAACCTTCGGCCCAGTCTGAGGTCCAGAGCACTCTGGAAAAGGTTTTCGTCCAGGATATCCCTGTACTTGGCCGCATTCATCTTTCCCTCGACTGCAACCAGTCGTCCTGTCCCTGCAGCTGAAAAACACCCCCACAGCATGATGCTGCCACCACCATGCTTCACTGTTGAGACTGTATTGGACAGGTGATGAGCAGTGCCTGGTTTTCTCCACACATACCGCTTAGAATTAAGGCCAAAAAGTTCTATCTTGGTCTCATCAGACCAGAGGATCTTATTTATCACCATCTTGGAGTCCTTCAGGTGTTTTTTAGCAAACTCCATGCGGGCTTTCATGTGTCTTGCACTGAGGAGAGGCTTCCGTCGGGCCGCTCTGCCATAAAGCCCCGACTGGTGGATTGCTGCAGTGATGGTTGACTTACTACAACTTTCTCCCATCTCCCGACTGCATCTCTGGAGCTCAGCCACAGTGACCTTTGGGTTCTTCTTTACCTCTCTCACCAAGGCTCTTCTCCCCCGATAGCTCAGTTTGGCCGGACGGCCAGCTCTAGGAAGGGTTCTGGTCGTCCCAAACGTCCTCCATTTGAGGATTATGGAGGCCACTGTGCTCTTAGGAACCTTAAGTGCAGCAGAAATTTTTTTGTAACCTTGGCCAGATCTGTGCCTTGCCACAATTCTGTCTCTGAGCTCTTCAGGCAGTTCCTTTGACCTCATGATTCTCATATGCTCTGACATGCACTGTGAGCTGTAAGGTCTTATATAGACAGGTGTGTGGCTTTCCTAAACAAGTCCAATCAGTATAATCAAACACAGCTGGACTCAAATGAAGGTGTAGAACCATCTCAAGGATGATCAGAAGAAATAGACAGCACCTGAGTTAAATATGAGTGTCACGGCAAAGGGTCTGAATACTTATGACCATGTGATATTTCAGTTTTTCTTTTTTAATAAATTGGCAAAAATTTCTACATTTCTGTTTTTTTCTGTCAAGATGGGGTGCTGAGTGTACATTACTGAGAAATAAAATTAACTTTTTAGATTTTTGGAAAATGGCTGCAATGAAACAAAGAGTGAAAAATTTAAAGGGGTCTGAATACTTTCCGTACCCACTGTAAGTCAAGCATTACGTGGGTGTGATATCAGTGAGAACTCACAGGCCAATGGCGGCCAGGAGGGTTCATGTTGGGGCAGTGGAAGTAGGCCACTCCGTTGTGGTAGGTGTAGGGATTGCCTGTGGACGTAGTCAGGTACACTGTCCCACAGGACATTGGCACAGGCATGGCAGAGTTGGGGAAGGCCACAGGGGTGCTCTTAGCTGGGAAAAAGGTGGAAACCAAAAAAAAGTGATGAGAAGTAAAATTTACCAAGTCGATACCAAAATTCTGAAAACATGTCTGTACTCATTTTCTAGGTACCGAAAGTACCGTAGGTAGCAGGATACAACAAGCAGAAGATGGCACCAAATGCAGCTCCAACTCGCCGAAAAGAAAAATACTAAGAGTCGCGTATAGAAGTACTTTGCCTTATTATTTTTGTTTGAGACAGCTGGCACTGATTTGTTGCCTGGCCAACTATGTAACATACGTTTAAAAGGACTAAATACTAAAGGCTACTGTGTTTAGGCAAACATAATGTAAACACAGTTCGTAGTAGTTGGCGACAGTCCTTACCATACAGTCTGTGTCATCTGTCATAAAGTCTTTAGCTTTTTCAATAAATTTTTAACTTACATTACTGCTTGCACTGGTTTTTTTGTTTGTTTGTTACAGTTATTGAGCTATACCTGATAATTATTAAAGGAGTGTAAGCTGAAGTACATGGCATTTATTATTTTGTTAATGTGGTAGCAAATTTGGTATTGAGAATTGTGGAATTTCACTGGTTGTGGTATCAACTACAAAATATCTGGTATCGAGACATCCCTATGTCAAAGCACCTTCTGTTTTAGACGATCAACTTACTTTGTACTGAAGGTTGCTGCTTGCGGACGGCCTGACCAATGCTGAGCTTCTTGTCTTTGAAACAGATTCCATTAGCCTTTAATGTAGTACATGAGGGAACAGACGCCACATTACACAATACATTCTGTTAGATAAACTACATCATTATATGTAGCTTAAGTTTAGTTGCAAGATACTTTAATTTACTTTACTTACATTATGAAGAATTTTCAGAGCATCATCTTGAGTCTCAAATGTAACAAACCCATATCTGTTCAAAGAGACAGAATCAAGACAAACCGTCCGTTAATCTGTGACTAATGCTCAAAGTCAAAGGATAGACAGTCATGGCTGCAAACAATATTATTCAGTAACTTAATGTATAGGGGTGGCAATCGCGGGGTACCTCACGATACATAGCTCACGATAACGATAATATCACGACACAGCAATTCTGCGATAATCGATATATCGCTTCACAATCCTAAAGTGATATCTACTATTAATACAAAATGTCTGTGAAAAAGTTTACTGTTTCTTTACTGCAAATCCAAACTGTTAGAAAACATCACAATTCTGCTCAGCCTGTTAATAAAACTATGAAAAATTATTATCAAAACATTTGTTTATAAAAAGGCACATAAAATGCAAATTCACAGAATCTTTTTTACTGCAAATACAAATTGCTGTGAACCACCTAAGTGTAATCTGTACATCACATTATATTAATAACTGTTCAGGGACACAGCATTGCCCTTACTTTTCCTACTGATAGCTGTATTTTTAGGCCACTGGGAATATTGGGTTTGAGTTTTGAGCCTTTGGGGTTGCTGTAGCCGGTCTGTGTGGAGTGCAGAAGCAGTAGAGTAGCAGATCAAGACAATGAAGATAGCAGCTCTTTTTTATTTCACACAGAGCTCAGGAAAAATGTACTTCAAGTATTTGCACAGTACGTCACTCAGGATGTTCAGCATGTTCAACAAAATGTGTAATTTATGTCAAGATTGTATTTTCACGATCGTAATGCTAATGTCCATTAGCACGTTAATGGAGATTCCCATTATATGTTATCATTGAGCTAACCATCAAAGTACTATTTTTAATTAATACTACTTATCGATATGATGGGCTGGAATATCGATACAGTATCGTGGAGAAATGTACGATATATTGCCGTATCGATATATATTGTCACACCCCTATTAATGTATATAAAAGGAACAATGCAATTAACTCACCCCTTTGACATTCCTGCGCGATCTATCACAATCTTCACCTCTTTTACCGCACCGTGTTGAGAGAAGACATGTCGCAGGTCGCTCTCATTAACCTTTAAAAACACACACATTTCTGTATTATCACTCTAAAAGGAGGTACAGTGGTCGCTGATTGGGTCCAGTTCATTTGCTCTAGAATTAATCATTTCAGATAAATTATTATAACAGTCTGTAGTAGTTAGAATCTTATCTAATAACGATACACAAATACTCATTTGGTTAAAGATTTGGGTGGGCAGACTTTTTACAAAATTTTAGAAAGGGGGGATAACAGGACCAAATAATAACAAAGGTTGGAAGAGGGGGCACTGAGTAACTTCAATGTAAAAAAAAAGCCAAGAAACATGAGGTTCCTTAACGATGACATGATGTGTTACTTTTAAAGTGAGTTGCAAATATTAATCAGTTAATTATCAACTATTAAATTAATCGCCAGCTAATTTGATAAACGCTTAATTGGTTTGAGTAATTAAAAAAAAAAAAGTAAAAATTCTAAAATGTGAATTTTTTTCTGGTTTCCTTCCTCCTCTATAACAGTTAACTGAATATGTTTTGGCTGTGGACAAAACACGACATTTAATGAGGTCATTTTGAGCTTTGGGAAACACTGATTAACATTTTTCAACATTTTCTGACATTTTATAAACCAAACAACTAATTGATAAATAGAGAAAATAATTGAGAGATTAATTGACAATTAAAATAATCGTTAGTTGCAGCACTAATTTTAATTGTACAATTTACCTTTGATTTGATGACAATCAAATAAAGTATGTAGTGTTTGGACTTAACGAGGGAAAACTAATTTGTCTTTTGAAATAAGTAGAGTATCAGTAGAGAGCTGACAGGACGTGAGAGGAGAGAGATGGGGGATATTATTTTTGGATTACTCAAATATTCTGTAAATCTTGGGAATCATCTTTGAGGCCATTTACACCAGGCTTTAACTCAGTGTCCAGATTGTATATGGATATGATTTTAACCTGATTAAATTTACACCTGGTATTAATATGTGTCTCCAGCATCCACACTCAGATCCGCACTGTCCAGCTCAAACAACCGAATGTCACATCCTTCTCTTGCCGATCAGATCACAATCAGTCCTCAATGCGTCTTGGTTGCATTTACACATGTACTTTCATGTGGTCAAGCACAAATGTCCGATCACCCAAAACACATTTTAATGCCAGATATAACTGGGTTTTATGATTCAGACTTCATCGAGAGAATGTTTTATGTATGACTGATCTAAGAACTATTCCTGGAGAAATGTAGAATTACAGCTGAATAACATTAGGCCTCCTGTGAATTATGTTAATTCTCATTTCACAGACTCATAGACTCACAGACTCTGACCATAGCTTGCTATCATGCTTTGCTGCTCTCTAGTGTCTACCCTTCCACAGTAAGACACACGACCAAACATGCACTGTGCCTGTGCAAATTTAGCAGCTCTCACCTTGTAGTCAATTCCCCCGACAAAAATACGATTGGGGATAACAGTGCCGAGGAGGGGGGTGTTGTGGATCAGGCTGTCATCGTGGTTTTCTGGAGTTAACACTTCAGGGGGGGAGGAGCAGCTGCTGTTCTGGGAGGATGTGAACTTGAATAAAAGGAATTGACAGCAATCATGGTCTAATTCTGGGCCAGTAAGAAACAACATAGGTATCACCTTGTTAGACAGCAAGTACTGACTATATTGAGATTAGAAGATCTGGTGTGTGATCAAGTTCTTTCTCACCAGGAAGTAGCAAAGTACTAGGATTTAGCACTTTAGGACCACTAAATCACATTTATGTACACAAAAAGAGTTTCAAAATTTGTGTGGGTATGGACATAAGGACACTTAGTTACTTGATACTAGATCAAAAGAAAATCACCAGTGTTATCTGTTTGTACCAGACAACAACTACGTTACTGTTAAACTTAAATATTTTGTATATATCTGGCAAGCAACAAAGCAACTTCAAAGCAGAAAACCCCCAAACTATTGTCCTTTGGTGTCAGCGGGAAAAATAAAACTATTAACAGTTCCTTCATAATCACTCATTAAAGTCCACCAAACAACGTAATAAACACTCTTTTAAGTTAGATAAAGTTGATGCACCTGCAGCCAGTATATAAAATCAGCCAACAGCAACTCTCAGTAACAACATGGCCAAAGTTAACAGTAACATGAAAGTAAAAATGCCTACAGTCCACTGTGGTGACATTACAGCTTCCAAATGTATATGTCAAATGAAAAAAAATCAGTTTATTAAATATAAAATAGATTCATTCATAAATGGGTCTTTTTTCCTCCATTGGCTAGCACCCTACCCTCAAAAAAACTAACTTTGTAGCTTCTTTGCAAGCTAGCTCTGACATAAACAACAGTTAATTATGACCCTGAAAAGTGTTTTGTTAAAGGTTACCTTTATGAGAACGACTTATTAACCACCAAGTACTGCTCTTTAGTTAGCTCATTTCTATAAAATTCCTATTTTCCTTAGTTATACAGCAGGTTTAACCACTTTACCAATAAGTTAACTTAGCTAAAAGTTACACATCCTGCTTGGTTGATTTTAGTAAACTAAGCTAAAGGAAACAGCTGATAATGTATAATGAAATAATCTCTCAACAAATATATACCAACCCCAACTGCCACACTAATTTAGGAAGTGTATTTAATTTAAAATAACTTAGCTAACTATAAGTAATTACCATAAACACTGTCATGCTAGCTAGCGTTGTTGCGGTAACGTTAACGTTAAGGGCAGACTTGAGTTCACTCACCGCGGATTGGTTCTGCACTTCCATAGCCACATTCAGCTGGTTAACTTCCGCCTCCAAAACAGGTACACTAGTTTTAATCACACATTAATCATGACCTTTTAAGATAATGCTAACAGTTTAGCTCCTGTGCTCCGTGAGTCACCTCCTCCAACTCTGCTGTAACGTCAACTGCCCCTGCAGTCTTGGCTCTCGTGCCCCCTGACCTCCTTCATGGCCTCATCACCCCGGACGTTACTCCGTGATTCGGCCAAAAACAGCCCCTTCCGCCAACCTGTCTGTTATCTAGCAGCGAGTTGTATTTCCTAAGATTTTTTTTTTTTTTCTGCCCGTGTCAATTAAAGTTTTAACCGTGGTGAAACTAACACTATAATCCAGTATTTCCACCGAGGATGCCGCTCAATCCCGCCCTTCTTTCTCTGGAAGCCAACGTCGCTGCGCAGGCAGTGGCAGAAATGGCCGAAGTCGTGCGGCTCTTAAAGTCACATAATTGGTGAAATGAAGATAATATAAAACAACATGATAACTTCTATTGGACGGTGAATACTTGTTGTAATTTACCTACTGTAGTAGAAGATATGAATCCTGGAAGTTACATGTCAGCCATGGTTTCATCACATTGGGACCTCAGTGGAAAGAGATTATGAGTATGCTTTCAACTGAAATTGTTGTTAACAGTTGTATACATTTATAATACATGGGAGGAAAGGGGATGGAAAATACAATAAAGAGCAAAGAATTCAGAACTGTGTTGTAAGTAGCACTTGAAACCAGATTTGTGCAGTATTATATATTGCCCACACAGGGGCGCAATTTCTGTGTAAATAAAAATGTCTCATAAGGCAGTTTCCATGCTGTCTGTAGCCTACTGTTGTCTTTTTTACTGAATTCAAGATGTTTAGTAATTATCTTTAATAAATTCAAGAAGGACAAACCTGAGACATTGTTTTACTAGTTTTTAAAAGAATAATTGACCTACATATAATAACCAAGCAACTTGTTTTTTTGAATGTATACTTAAAATGTACATAGTTTTAATCATAGACTGTATATAAACACATTTTCCTTGTAAGTGAACCCTTCATCCCAACTTTAGTGGCTGCTCACTCTGGGCTGGTTATTAATAAATAGGGATTGATGGACAGGCAAGAGATTTCACAGGCAGGAAATCCTCAGAAATCAACGTAAAGCAGTCAGAGCTTCAACGCATGTCTACTTTTCAGTCCTCAAGAAGCCACTTTAGATGTTGCATATAAGCCTCATGGAGCTATAATTTCTCTACGATTGCCGACAAAGTGCTCTGAAACACTGTCATTTGCGTATTCCCCTCCACCTTTTCCACATTCTTCCTCAGACCACAACAAAGCGAAAGTACAAAGCCTCCAAAGTGTATTCAACAGAGAGAAAATCACCCAAATTCATAGCTGTTAATATCAGTAATGGTTGAACAACACTTAACAGGGGCAAAGGGATCTAAAGTGTTCTTAGGCTTCCCTTGAACACATCCATACAATTGCAGATATCCGCAAACATCGTTTGAAATCCCCTTCTTCTAAACTTTAAAGCTTATGACGTTTTCAGTGTATAATTCTTCTCAGCCTGTCTTGCAAATTTCCCATCATTACAACCTCCTTTCTCCAGATTGTTTGTTCTCATCTGAGTAATGTGGGCCACACCATTACTTGTCATTCATTTCCAGCTTTTCTTAATTGCCGGGTGAATTTGCCATCGAGGTCTGACTGTGCAAAATGAGATGGGCATGTTTGATAATTACAGCAATTTACCATCTAAAAGTCCTTTTATACTCCTCAAAGATCATTTAAGATGCAAGCGCTGTCAGGGCAACTTGCCTGGTTGTTTGAGTTTTCACTGAAAACAAATGAGTAGAGTGTGAGGGTTTTATCTATTATTATTATTGTTATTATTATTATTATTAATGTGTTTTTCTTGTGTGAACAGACATGCAAAGTTCTGCTGTCGGACTATTTAAGAGTGTGTTAAAAGCCTTTGTACTGCTTTTCATGATAATTTCAGAATTGAATTTACCTAAATCAAACACATTTTCTTCCTATCTGTCTTCTTACCATTGGAAACAAAACTCTGAGTTTAACTTCATGTTTTGATACAATAGTCATTAATTTCCTCATCTGCCTTGTTTACCTGAAATGGGATGTCAGTTGTGTGGCGCTGAAGTGAGTTTTTGCTGGACGAAAAGGACCAGAGCAGGCCGGCCAGCCATGCCAAACATAGAATTAATTCCAGAATTCCAGAATTAGGATACAGGTAAATCCCAAACAGTGCCCTAGTGCCTCAAGAGGCAAGTAATGGTTAATTAGACTTGATTTGAAACAGGAATGTTTGATGCAAATATAACACGGACAAAAACACAACTAATCCATTATAGTACATTGCACCAGATGCAACAAAATGAGCGTTTTCTGGTCTGCCACAAAATACTCTTGAAATGTGGAAAACACAGGTTGCAGATATGTGCTTAAAGCAAAGTGAAGTGTTAGCTGTTACATAGCCAGTTTAGAATCTGAATCTGGAGCAGACAGCTTGTAAGGGATCAGGATTTCTCTCACAGTTAACGACTTCCTTAGTGACAATTGTGAATTTAGGCGTCACCTACAATTCCACAACAGACATACCCTTAACCTAATTTAAAACTAAGAAACTTCCTCTGGGGTTCACAGGTAATGCAGGATGACCTCCCTCCCACCACATGTGGACAAACACAATTAGCCATGTTTGAAATTGGGAAGCCGGTGAGGGTTTACATCGTGAACGAATAACTAGTCTGTTTAGTTTTTTGGACTTGAAGAAAAGGTGTATTTTCTTTCCATTGATAGGCTAGATGTTTTTCTCATTTCCAGTTTTTATGTGAAGCTAGGTGATATACCTACCGGACAACAAGTCCTCACTCAAAGACAAAATATGTAATTTGCCGTCACCTTCCTTTTTTTTTAATCTGGTGCCCCCATTGGCAAGAAGTTATCAAAACTATTACAAATGATCACACAAAAATGTTCAACAACAGCAAATTTGTCAAACTACTCTTACAAAAGTTAAGAACAACAAATGGTGTTGCTTCTCTAGTGAAAACAGTTATGTCTCACAGCTCCTTCACAGAGATGAAAGTCTGGGTGCCACAACAAACAAACGTATTTCACAAAATGTCAACTGTCCTTTTAAATCTTGAGACTCACAGAGGAGAAAAAGCAGATATAGAAGAAATACAGGTCAAATATCAGGTCAGACATGCATGTCCCATCGATAAAACTGTCATTTTACCTCAGTCGGTCAGACAGTCATGGAGACAGAGGTTGATGAAAAATGAGCCATAACAGAAGGGTTCGACTTTGGCTCTGTAATTACTCTACAAATCTCTGATTTCCCCTCCTTCATCTCCATACTATTTATAGCTGCTGCATTCCTCTCGGAGAATAAAATGATCTCTTTGAGACAGTACAATGCCAGAAATAACAGGTTTGGACAAACATTTGCTGAGGCGTGGTGGGCCTGGCTGACCATTACTGAGTTCCACTGTGGTTTCAGTCTACTGTTTTTCCCCCTGGTACATTTATTCATCTGTTATTCTAAATGGCAGTGGGTTTGCTGGGGGAGGTGGTGGCGAGTAAGATGTGATGGTTCAACAAAAGAGCTTGTGTGAAGGGCGATGAAATCACTTTGTAGTCTGGCACAGCAAAAGCAAGGTCGGCAGCTTTCTCACATGTGAGGGAGCGGGCAAAAGAAAACACACACCCTCATAAACACACTTTCATGTCTGCCAATACTCAGGTAACTACGGGGATTCCTCTTGGTGCTCCATTGTTACAATCATAGGACTTCACTGGCAAATATGATCAACTAAAACATGAGGCTTTGAGTGTGAATATGTGTATATGCAATCATGTGTAAGTGTCTTGAAAGTGTGTTTAGGTTATCAGAGAAAGAAGGCTTTCCTTGCGACTGTTTCTTGTCAACTTTTGTTTACACCAAACAAAACAAAGATTGTATGCAGCCTGCGTAGCATCCAGGCTTCAACTTATCCCCGCAGGTATTCATACCATGCTGCAAAGGGAAAATAAATGTCAACCTCACATTGTAGACCAGATGACGCACAATTTATGTTATTTTAGGGTTTTGTGTAGTAAGACCAAACTTTTTTTGAGTATTACATGGAATCTTAAGAGAAGTTTTGGTTATCCAGATCTTAATTTGGAAATACTTTCAATGATCCTGTATATATGGATCTATCAAACCGAATCATTTAAATTCAGTCCTCACATGTATCGGGAGTTCAGACAATTCTCAGTAGATTTGTTGCTAAGCTGTTAATCAAATTAAACTCTTGTTTACCACAAATTCAAACAAATCGGAACTTGCTAGTTCAATGTCTTACTCTTTCTCGCACAGCATCCCTTGCTAGCAAATATTGACAGACTTCTTTTATCTACTTCTCACAAGCCTGTGTTGGAGCATTATCTGTCGGTACTTTTTATTACAGATTTATTATTGATTTGTGATTTGAGAATTGAGTTTTTATGCAATCAGTTTAGCTGGCATTTATGCTCACTGTTTGAGACAAATTTGTTGCTTTATAATGTATATAATTTGTGATAGTCAAGTTTGTCAGTTCACAATACCAGGACCCAGAAACTGAAGTAGCTAAATAATTAATTTTACTATTTACACCTGTGCTTTTTATAGTGACTTGACAAAATGTCTTTAAAGCAAAAAGGATGGGAGTCCGGGAAATAATCTTCGGTATTTTGCTTTTGGTGTATACATTCACTGGAGTTCCCTTTAAGGTTTATAGTACATCACATAGCTTAATTAAGCATATTAAGCCAAAAGATACTTTTATTGATCATAGATCAAGTGGAATCTCATATAAAACTAATAGATACACATTGTCATGTGTTTCCTCCAGGGCTGTTTTTATCTAGGAAGAAGACCTTGTGAATCAACATTTGGACCAATGGTGGATACTAAAACTCTACATGACAGGCATTATAGGCATTCACATGAGACAGCTATAATGTTAGTGATTAACGCCATAAAAGATATGTGTCGATCACACTGTATCATATCAACATAACTAACAGTACATTGTCCTTTCTCTGGCTTTCTCCAGTTGTTGTTTGCTCTTTTGTGAAAATGCTTCACCACAATGGTGTTGCATTCCACAGCGACACCCGATGATTTCTCTAAATGTAGACATATTATTTAGGGTTTTATATGCCGGGGCCCTGGCTATAGTTAGTGGGTGTGCACACACTGACCTACAATAAAGTAAACAC